AAAGTCTAGTATATAGGTAGTGTTTAAAAATTAGTACATAACAAATATTACATAAAGAAAAAAATATAAGAGTATATATATTTTTAGAATATTATACATGTTTTTTGTGAGAACAGTATTAAATGGATGAGTTCTCATTTTTGGACTTTGAATGGCTGAACTTGAAAACTGTTTACTTTTGCAAGTGGTGTCTATTATAAAATTAATTGTTACTCAAATTAATGAAAATTTAATTAAAGTTTTATTATACTCTGCTGACAAATTAGTTAATTATTAATTCCTATTTTTTTTATTTGTTAATGTAATAAGGTTTATTGGAAGACACCTAACAAGCCAAATTATTTGCCACGTACGATTGAAAGGAAACGATTTCATTTCTCAATACATCGTCCATGGACTCATCAATTTCGTCGTGATAATGCTCCTAATAAACATCATCACTTTATTCATGTGGAACCTATTAAGAATTGGAGTTTCTTCCGAGGTGATAGAGTATGTTATTTTTTTGATTAATTTCTTATAAAAAGTTAAAAAATAAAAGATGACATTAGTGTAATATTATTGTACTTTAGTATATAAGTGTTATAACATTTGTATAAATTGATATTTTTTTAGGTAGAGATTTTATTAGGAAAAGATAAAGGAAAGCAAGGAATTGTAAAAGAAATTTATCAAGAAAGAAATTGGGTAATTGTTGAAGGACTTAATATGAAGCTGGAATGTATGAAGATAAATAAAAAATATCCTCCTATATATGTACAGCAAGAACAACCATTATTAGTGACTTCACAAGTGCAATTGGTTGATCCTTCAGATATGTAAGTATCTGTTATATTTTAAAGAATTTATTTTATAAAGATAAATTTATAGTATATCAATATTTGATATATTTATACTAATTTACAAATTAAATCGTTGCAGGCAAGCAACTCCGATAGAATGGCGATTCACAGAGGATGGTCAACATGTACGAGTATCTGTGAGATCTGGTAGAATTATTCCTGTTCCTATTTTGAGTCAAGAAACGATAGATTACAAATTACCTCAACTTTATCAAGAACAAGCAAAAGATACAACTAAAGCTGATGTGGAGAAAATAACTTTCGAAGTATGTAAAATATCACGAATCTGTCTATTTATTTTCATTTATAGATCTTATTAAGAAATTATACATTGTGTATATGTAGAAAATGAATGAAGATTTCATAACAATATTTATAAAGTGACAGACAAATTTGTGTAGAGACAAAAAATAAATGTATGTTTTTTATTTACAGCCAGCATTAAAGACATTCGAGATGGATATCATGGAACAAATGGGTATTAAAGAAGATCGTGTTCCAAAGAAATTTTATTGGTATTAATCATTCTTATATATATATATATACAATTCGCTGTTATTTTCAATATACAGCTATAGTATTTAATAAATATATTTTAAACGAACAAAAGGGATGGGAACATAGTTTTCTAATACAACTCAAGAAACCTCATAATCTTTGAACGAAAAAACGCGTGAAAAATGCATTTTCCAATATGATTTATCCATTTAATAATTTATTAATTTTAACTTTTTTCTTGATATTGAGAGATTCTATATTTTCGACAAAAGATAGTATAAGGAGTCCCTGTTTGTAACGCTTTGCATAGGAAGTACGCAATAAAAAGAGCATTTATAACATTAAATAATAAAAAAACGAACAATTCAGTGCTTTATATATATAACGAATTTACATTGGATTAAAATACGTAATAATATTGATTAGTATTTCAATCAATAGTTGCTTGTTTTATGCTAAATCGTGTCATTCATACATATCACAGCACAAAATTTTAATAAATGCATATCCCGAAATGCTTTCGTATTATATTTAAATATATATTCCTTTATATTATATATTCTGTTATGTATGACACTTCCCTTAACTCTGCGCATTCTGATTGTAATGAAATTGAGCTAACGATCGATCAGTCCACGTTTCAATGATGTTGAAAATTTATGGCCATATGGACGCAAGATAGCGGGAAAAGATTTTTTTTTTTCAAGAGAATTCTATTTTTCGAAAATTGAAATGTGTGAGAAGCAGTGAAATATCGAACATTTAATTCAAAATTCAAGTCAAATAGTCCAGATAGTAAAACATGTCCAAAATGAGTCGTAAGATTGTCTTGCGCTTATCTTCGTCATAAGCCGTAAAAATTGACTAATTGTAGTCGAATGCAAAAAGAATAATCGAGAGACTACAATTGAATTTTTACAGTTTATGGGCATTTTTAAGATATCATAAGACATCTTAAAAATGTCTTTATAATAGCTGCGTTCAGCGGAGAAAACAGTTTTGTAACTGTTGTAGAGTTCCTTAATATATAATAATTAGTCTTGCCTTTAGTTCATCATTGAATCTAAATGAATCAATCATATTAAAGAACTTTATAATAATAGCAAAGCTCTATTTGCAGCCATTATAAAGGCATTTTTAAGATGTCTTATGATATCTTAAAAATCTCTTTATAACTGTTGCGATAAGGTATAATGTCTAAAAAAAAAAAAAACGTTTTGATGGCATCTTGAAGACGTCTTACGTTCAAATTTTGAACATGATGCTGCCTGGAGAATGGATTTGCGAAAATCAATTTAAATTAATCGAAGAATCCGTCTTCGCGGCGCACTTCACGTCAGACGAGATGTCGCGGTTGCGCGTCGATCGCTGCGGTATTCAGTTCGAAAAAAAGTCACCGCTACGGATAAATGCGCGTTTACGAGAAGAGCCGTTTTTCCATTGTTAGTTCTCCCGCTGGTTCTATTCGACTTCCGGGTCTTTACACTGAGATCGGTAAGTCGTATTTTATCCCGCTACATTCTTAATAAAGATATAACAGGTGTGGGGAGAATGATAATCAGGAAATGAAGCGCGAAGCGGGGAGCGTGTCTTTAGCGCGACTGTTCGCCATCTTCCTTTCCCTCGTCTCGGACCCCAAGATCTCGCGTTTGAAATATAATTATATTTCATCCCGTTATATCCTTACTGCCTGTAAAACGACTAATCGCGCAAAACGTCGCGCCTCGTGCCAGGGATAATTTTTCGCTGATAATATCTCGACATACACGCATCGTGAACGAACAGCATTCTATTCATGTACGCGGCGATGCGGTATCCTCGCGTGATTAAGCACATTATATACTGCTGTTGGCGCATTAGTTTTATCGAGATGATCGCAATCGACGTGATCTCGTGAATGCTTTTGCAGCGAAAGCTACTGAAGAACTTTGCAAAATTCAATTGGCGCGATTGTAGATTTCAGTAGCGATCGCTTTCTTTACGCTGCGAGCAAATTTAAAGTTTATTATCTTATTATATGGATAGCCACGAGATGGCGTCAAGATGGCCTTTTTTAAAGAATTTTCTAATTTAATAAAAAAATTCTCAAGTAAGAGCTTGAACAATATTTGATTATTTAAACAATTGATCTGCCAATGTTTAGTTACATAAGGGAATTTATACTTTATTATTATTTTGCAAATTTATTTATCATAATGATGATGTATAATATATAGATTATTGAATTGAAATAATTTTTTTAAATAAATTCAAATAAATTGAATAAGTATTAAAAAATTGATTCTAACATTTTTTTTGTAAAGAATGAACCATGGATAGCAGATGATGTCTATAAACTCTTATTTGAGGATTACTTTAACATAAACCTGTTCCGTGGTTTTATTGTATTTATGAGCGACTTCGAACTAATTGATTGATATAATCAGCGATTAACTTATTAAGCAATAACTGTACTATCTTATTAATAACATGAATAATAAAATTGAATATTTGTTATTTCATACAAGAAAAGAAAAATTCGATTAAGGATAACGATTTATATTGTTAGAAATGTTGCCGTTCCATCAGTTAATCGCCAATTAAGTTAATTAATATTTAATCGGAGTCACTTATAGAAAACTGAAACGATCTCTCGCGTCATTTTCTCTCTTATTATATGCTATATAACGGCGCATCATTTCATCACCGTTTCATATGAAAATATTCTATCATTTGTATCCTAATGTAACAGGAACCACTATAATAAGGCGACGGGGTGGCTAAAATCGATTAGAAATAGGCAATCTACAATCAGGCTCATATTATAACTACCTACTTAGCTATTTTACTTGTTGCAAATCCTTAATTCGAACTATTACTGCACGGCCGGCACTATGGAATTAATGTACGAGCGATTCGTGTTATCAACGTATCGCTTAATTAAATGATTAATTGACATGCCTACGTACTTCATTTCCGTAATATTACGATTCATTTGCGTATGGCATATATTGAAATTTCCATATATATTATATATATATATATATATTTCGTTGTCAAAACATATACTATATTAAGATACTATATCGCTGCTTTTTGACGAAATTTACGAAATAAAAAAATTCCATGTCTAATATTGCATATGGATTGCATATTGCATTGTCGATTTAGATTGAAAACTTGCAATCTTAAATCTCTTTTTGCGTACTGATTTTATTGCAAAGAACCTATCAAGACTATTGTATTGTATCGTTAATTTGTATATCTTCTCTGCGGAAAATACTATTTTAAAACTATTTTTACGCATAAGATGCACGTTTGATTTATGATAAATGACAATGCAATTATTAGAGCAATGAATGTGTACGGTAGTTATCGATTAATTTAGACGCTCTTAAAAATAGTATCATTAAATAGTTCATCTCTTTTTATAAATCGACAAATTTGAGATTTTTGATTCTGACTAAACAGCGACATTATTTAAATTTATCAGCACAATAGAAAAAGCTTCTCGCATATAACATCGGTTCATATCTAAAATCTCTCGAACAAAACAAATTAATAACATACCTTATTAACCATTATACCTACGTAACAAATATCGATCGAAAAATAATCCAGACGCTTGCTTGGCACATTGCTACATTTCATTTACATCATACAATCAGGATTTCGTATTTCTCACGAGGATTTAGTGGCAGGATGCCTGACTAGGAGATTCACTTCACCGTCGTGTAGCTTCTTCATTAAAGACCACGCTTCTATTCTCGACATTCGCGTTACATCGTTACCGTTTACTTCAAGCAGTTGGTCCCCGGCTTTTAAAGCACCCGTTTTCTCGGCAGCACCTCCTGTTGTAAAAGATAAAATTCAGATAACATATAATATAATTTCTATTATCTCAATTATTTTAATATACATATAACAATCGTTATCGTTGTAATTATCATTATCCTCTAATATGAAATTCGATCGCTAATGTACGAAAATTTACCGGTGAATATCTTCTTAATGATTAAAGGTCTATCTCCGAGGGGACTATCTCTGCCGCCTTCCAGGCTAAATCCGAGACCAGCTCCATCCTTGTAAACCGCCACGGTGGACGGTGGTCCCCACGCTGTGTCCTCCACGTTTCCATTCGTCTCTAACCCTACGAGAGACAAGTTCCTTTACTTATATCGATTCCGTTATCATCAAAATGGATCGTGAAAATTCTCACGCGAAATGTTTTACCTTCGACGATGGTTTCGACACTCGCAGTTCGCGACCTCAGCTTACAGCCCTCCTCCATCCTGACCCTCGACACGACCAACACGACCTCCGATCTCGGTTGCTTCAGTACCGCCATGCTCTCCCTGTGTGTGAGACCTCGCGTGCTCCGACCGTTTATGCTGAGAATCCTATCACCCCTCTGCACCCGGCCGTCTTTGTCCGCGATGGAGTGCGTCAGTACTCTATGAACCGTGATCTCCTTCACTTCGCAATCCGCACCACCAGCCAAAGTAATGCCAACGCTGCCGGTCGGATTCTCCTTGTGAAGCAAAACGACTATAACGTCGTGCGCTCCACGTGCCTCTTCCAAACTCGCCTCTTCGACCAGCTGCGCTAGTTCTTGTTGCGAGATTAGACTGGTACTGCTGGCAAGCGAACTGATACTGCCAAATTGCTCGCCATAGCATCTATCGGTGTCTATTTCCGTCCCAATATTCTCGTCTACACTGCTGTCTAGACTTGGAAATCGATTATGAGTGTTGCTGGCGGTGGTCTGTTGTGATTGATTATGCACAGGACTGGTATCAATCTTTTCCAGGGCTTTCTTCATGTCCGTGACACTGGCACTGCGTCGATTTAAGCCACGAGATGTCGGAATCTTCGACACGGTTACACCACTTTTTATTCTTTCGACACTTTCTGTCATCTCATCGCCGCTGTCGACAGTTTTAGTTCTCCCTAAGGTGGGTATTTTCGAAACAAAGGGTCTGTCCTCCGACAAGGACTCGTTCGAAGTAATAGAGCCTCTTCTCCCGTATCGATTTTCCTTCGAAATTTCCCAAGCAGATTTTAGTGGCGAGCCTGACATTATACCGTTCTTTTCAATTTTTGGTTCTGTATTTTGCGTACGGGATAACTTCAAATCTGGTTTAGCGCCAAGTATATCTTCTAGGCTCATCTGACTCTTTGATCTGCCAAATGTTCCTTCGTCGACGTGTATAGCTGATCTGGAACGGCTTTTCGTCGTTAAGATCGTCAAAAGATCATTTTGATCTTCCATATTTTTTCTAGGAATTGAATTCGCTTTACTTTGTGGTTTCGACATTTCCATCGTGGTGACCTTCGTATCGCCTACCGTAGTTCTAATTTTTGAAGACAAATCATCGTTGGACGCTGTAATAACAGGTTGGTTAAATATGGAGCCACGACTATTTCTTGTTTCCAAATTTTGAGCTGCAAGGATTGGACTTTTGTCATATTTTGATTTTTCTTCCATTGATCGCGCCAAAGTCTTCACTTCCGCTCGAACCCACATTTTAAGATCGTTTGATGGCTCCAACATTTCAGATTTAGGCGGTCTAACAGCTGGCGGTGGAAAACTCATTTTAGGTGGCAATTTAGGTTTCTCCTCCATCTTCTGTAACGATCCGTCATCTTCCGCGAAGGGAGGATCCGCGACTTCTATATACGCAATCTTGATCTCTTGTTTGCTCGCGGGATCGCTCCCCGAGTTATTGCTTATCTGATGAATAGCACCACCATTCTGAACGGTTTCTTTTACAGCATCTTCGTCATCTGAGAACTTGCGCTGGATTAGCGGCGATCCGTTGAGATCCCTGCCGCTTCGACATCTGGCGCTTGCCAAGATATTCTTTCGATTTATCGCCTCCACACTTTGCGGCTTCAGTACTCTTCGGGATAAAGACTCGGCACTGGCTTGAGACCCGGATGTGAGCGTCGAGGACGTGCTGCAATTTGTATCGGTGCTGTTCGACCGCCTCAATTGTCTCTGAGGAATTTGCGAACTTCTCGAAACAAACTCATTTGGCTGTGGTGAGCGCGGATTTGACCCGCTGCTACTGGAAGATGATCTTTCGGCAAGATATGTTCGCTCACCAAGAACACCTATCCTGGAGGTGAATTGATCTTTATCGGATGTAGTAGTTTGATCTCTGATGTCTCGTGCGACTGAAATTCTGCTCAAATTGTCTGCGATCAAAGACCGGCGTTGGCAGTTTAATTCCGCGGAGACATAAGATCTTTCCGATGAGATGGTAGATCTTTCTGACGGTACTGGAGACATCGGCGGACTGAAGCCGCGAGATATGCTACTCTGAGAGCTGCTCACGGCCGAATCATTGTCGGAATCATCGTAATCTAAGCGAGCTTTCCTCTGCATCGTCCTCGGTCTAGTACGTGAGCCGTCTGGTGAGCTCGTCGTTGAAGCAAACTCGAAGCTGTAATCACTTCTTGTTGGGCTGCAAATACTCTCCAGGCTTTTCGGTGGCTCCGAAAATGTGGACATTGCTGTTGATTGAGAACTTTTGATCGGGCTGCTGCCGTTTATCGTGGAGTTTGGCGTCACTGAAGTACCATAAACCGTAAGAGACTTTCTTTTGAAAGCCGGGGAGTACTTGGAGTATATCTGAGGTGCCGGCATCTTGAAGGATGTTGTCGCTTTCAAGGGCTGACTCGTTGTGCTGGCGTTGCTGGTTAAGGAACTTTGAGACCCCCATTTATCTTGAATATTTGCCTTTGGTATCTGAAAAAAAAGTACATTGTGCAAATAATGTATTATTTTGAATATTTTTGCATACATAAAATGTAGAGACATTAAATATTATTCACAAAAAATTTTTCAAAGCAATAGCTGATCAATTTTTTGAAATATTACGAAATATTACAAAATATTATATATATAAAATATAAAGATTAATACTTTATATAAGATATTCGAATTAAAAATCGAATTAAAAATTAAACAAAATGTTGAACAGCATTGTGTTTCAAATCTTACCTGATGCAATAATATTGAATCTCGTGATTTGATTTCCGGTAAATCGACGATAGGTTGATCAATTGATACGGTATCTTTTTCCGGTATAACCAGACCACGTAATTTCGATATTGATCTTCGTCTCTGCTCGATCAGTTGATTCAAGCTGTTCCTCCTAACATCTTCTCCGGGTCGCTTAAACGTGGACGCTAAGGAATTTGTTCTCGAAATTTGTGAGTTATTGATGGAATCGGTTGTTAAAGAATCTCGATCTTGCACAAAAGGTGTCGGGCCCGAAAAACTGATAGCTCGCGTTAATGAAGGCGTGCTCGTTGGTTTAATCGAGTTGGTGGAATTGTTACAAGAATTTACAGTTTTACCGATGTTCGAATGCACGGTATTTTGTAAATTGCTGCTTTCGGCGGTATTTGCACAATAATTTTTTGTCGCCGTATTTAAGAAATTCTGCTTGTCGTACAAAGTTGACAGTGGGCTAGATAACGATTTCGACGGAACAATTGGTAGCGTCTTTGGAACCCGCGTGGTTTGCGTAGTTGGACTCAATAGAACAGGTTGAACAGTCTGAGGCAAACTAAGCGCTCTCTGATTATATTTCTTCGCGGAGTCATGCCCAGTCATAGTCTTGGTTGAATCGGTGAGATCGAAAGAACTCTGCGTCCTGTCGGCGAAGAAGGACGGTCGATCCTTCTGTTCGTTGCTCTTGTCATCGCAGCAAACATCTTCGGAGGACTTGTACTTGGAGAGGCGTTTGCTGTTGTTCGTGGCTGCTGCCGCTGTTATGGCATTGGGAAATAGAGGCGTGTCAAGATTGCTTTGCGATGAAAACATTGCGATTTTGTCTCGAACAGATCGCTCGGACTTGTCGTCTTGTCTCCAAAGATCACCGTTCAAGGAAAACTTTCTCTGCGGAGTTTCCATCGTAGGAGTAATTCTCGTATGCAATACTTGTTGCTCTATTTTTGGTGGACCTGTGAATAACATAACGTACTTTTGCAAAAAGTATAAAAATATATTAAAAAAGGAGTATTTAATATATAAAAATATCATATGCTTGAAATAATTTTAATGGGAGGAGGAATCAATCTTTTCGAAAATATTAAATTTGATATTATGTATTTTTAATATATTGCTTCGGAGAAAAGAAAGATGAAGAGAGATTTCATTCGAAGCTAGATAAGTAATGAGTACCTGTCAATGGAAGAGGCGGTGGGGTATCAACAGGCGCGTCCTTTTCCACGTGGCTTGGCACTTCTTCGAGCGTTGTCACGGCCTTATGATAATATCCAGCGATCTCCATCTTCTTCTCACTTATCATTAAATTGCTATTAGTCGTCTGACAAGAATAAAGAGAACTTCCCGCGACGATGGAAGCGTTTTTCTTCGCGATATCTTCCGAAGTGTGATAAGACGATTTTTTCTCTTCGTTAGTAATCTCGGTGGACTTCACATCTTGACATATATTATCCACATTAGTCGACGTAGCCTTGCCCACCTCAGACCGGACGTTCTCCATATTCGCGACTTTGTTTATATCCTGCCTCACGTTTTCAGTGCCTGTGAACGTCATCTTACTATCGGGTAGAATAATGCTTCTTGAACCGACAACGTTGCTATCGTTCGCGAGCATTTTAAGAGTCTCGCCAGTACGGAACGACTCGTTTTCGTTGCACAATCCTGTATCATTTGTAGTTATCGACGCTGTCCTTGTCGTGGCGATATATCTGTACGGTGGCTGGTTGCTACTGTTGTTGAATTCTTGGTACGCTGCTGGAAATTCGTCCCCGTCCGGGGGCAGGCGTTGGCCGCCTCCGCAGTTCTCCATCTTACCATTTACCGTGTCTGCAACAATATTTCAGAAACATTCTTGATATTGATATCAAAAAGTTCAAGACTACAATATAGTAACTAAAATATTTTAATGTTTATTAATAAGCTATATAGAATTTGTAAATATAAAATTTAGATGAAAAAGGTTTGTTATAATAAAATATAATATAAATATACCTAATAAGATTTTATTGTGTAATTTCTTGCTAAATATGATGAAATCAAAGATAATATAATGTATGTGACTGCTGTTTTCCATTACGTTTTGACAAGCTATCGTTTGTATATGGAATGTCTATTTTATTTTCTGTGATAAGCTAACGAATTCAAGGTGAAATAGAATTTGCGTTAATGGAATTTGAATGGTACTGTCTTCGTTTTGCTTAATCAAACATCATAGATTCTCGTAAGATATTTAAAAATATGCTATTCTTTAAACGGGCTTTTGCTGTTATATATTTATGACACAAAGTCAATTCATTAAAAATTCTTCTGTACATTTCGTAAATCTTATTTCAATGTTCTTCTGCTTTAATATAATATGTACTATTATACTATACTTTAAGAATTCTTTCGTAAAGGAAATGCATCCGTAAAAATATTATATTTGCACTATTAAATAGCGAACCAGCAAATCGCTTGAATGATTCATCGCGCATATATCAACACATTATACATCGCAGTGAACGTATTATCGTTTAAAAAATGACATCATCTCTTCGATTTTTCATGCTTTTCGTCTGACGAATCGCAAACGTGCTATTTTGCGATCTTTCACATTTGTCAGAGTTCAATATATTCTAAAGAGAGAATTCAGTTTCTTTCTATTTTAAAGTGCTGCGTTTCATTCGTAAAATCATAAAATGTGAGTTTAAAAAAAAAACTTGTCTCTCATATTAATCTCATCCTGTTTCTTTGAAATTTACTTCGATTTTTAAATTTTATTCAAAATATTTTATTTTAATTTGTTTGTTTACATTTTACATTTTAATTTTTTTGCTTTTAACTTGTTATTTTATTTTGACTATGAGATCTCTAAATTGCTCGCTCAATTCGAAAACACAGATTATTTAGTTTATTTATATTTGCATGGTTTCAAGGATTTCCACATTCTAAACCTACTGATAAAACTTTTGCATGTTATTTAGTTTAAGTAGGAATATTTAAATCGAGTAAGTTACAGTACCATTAACAACGTAATTTTTCATAATGAATATCGCAATGCAAAGTTTTAGTTTGAACTTTCTTTATCTATCTACGAGTGTGCAAATGAGATTCTTAAAATATCCAACTGCTCGTAAATTATAAATCATTGGTGGTATATAATGTCGCATTGCCGAACGCTTACGTATGCCGTCATACTGCGAAACTATGACTAATTTTAATTCACGGTTAATAAAGCGCACCGCGCTAACTCCTGATTAACATTCCTGGCGTAGTGCACAGTACGACGTAACTAATCGTCGATCGTATGCACGTGCAACAGATGCAACTTTCGCGCAACTTGATGGTTTTCGATGCATCATCCAGACAATCGCACCATATTTGTACCGCTATCAGAGACACTGCACGTGTTATTGTGTGTGTGAATGTATTCGAGTATACGTGAATCTTATATTTATTCTGTACAATTCAACATTTATTTAGTTGGCAAATCAACTACAAAATGCGATGTGTGTACGATACTTAATTATAAAAATTCTCAATAAATAATTTAAATGAATGATAATCATTATACAAATAAATATATATAATATAAAATAAAGTAATATTAGATTTAAATAAATTAAGAAATGATATAATTTTTTGAAACGAAATTGCTTTTATATTGTCTCAAAATGATAAAGCAATAGAAAATATTCGCAAGTGTCAGACATTGTACTATATTTCTGTCTTGACAAATATTTGATTACGAGTTTGTGAAGTTATAATTAATACATCTTTATAACCAATCAGCTAAACAAATTATGTAAATTAAGATCTTATCTGTTATTTTTTAATATTCTTTCATAGTAAATTATATGTATAATACTGATAGAGATAACAAATCTAGAAAAACATATGAAAGATAGAGACTCAATAATGTGCACTTTGCATTCACTAATGCATTAAATTGATAGTAGTAACTGATAAAAAACAGATAATATACGTTACAAGATATACCTGATTAAACGGCAGGCACAACATTCAGAATTCGCGAGGGCCACTCTTGTTTTACAATCCAACTTTGCGAGTATTAAGTTGGCAGGTAATTAATTTTAATTATTGAAGAGTACATAACTCAGCTGGCAGTTATGGCAAACTTTCACGTGGAAGAAGTTTATTGTGCGTTTTGCGCGAGTCTGAGTTTAGTCGGCACGAAACGATTCTCAGAAGAACGTTGATGTATCGTCGTGGTAAAGGAGGAAACAACAGTAGAAATTCTCGTTCGTACTGGCAAGAAGGCTGTCGTAAGACTGGGCGACATTGCCTGTCGAGGCCAGCTTCCGCGGTTAGCACCAACATCAAGCGCTTTCATGTACGAAAGGAGGGATAGTCTCGCGTTTTCCATGTGCTACCACGCGAACACATTTTTAATTTTCCTGCTCGGAATTATGTTCTTTGCGAACATTATACCGTATGAGAAAAATCAGCGTGTATTTACGTATATCACTTCATTCATCACTCTCCGAGTCCCCTTTCTTCTTTGATTTGCGTTGGATGTCATCTTCGTTGTTGTTACAATATTTCATGCAAATGTTCGAATTTATTTTAATTTAATCCACCGAAACAATAGCGAAATAGCTACAGAGGCACATACGCGTCATAAATTAGCTACATGAGACATAACAGTTTCTCTTGGAATTCGTAGATCTGTGTCTTGTATACCAGTTTGCGGATGTCACCCGAACTGCTACGTGAGTCGATTAATCTTATGGAATGTGTCAACGAAACGAAACCGTTTGCTCGCCGAAGAAAAGTCGTAGGACGCAAACCGGACGATCTATGCTGACCTGAGTATACCGCTATGCGATATAATCGGCTTTAAGATGAACCGATGATTTTGTCATGCCACTATGAGTTACGTCGCTTGATAATTCCGTGAACGTTTAATTGATTCATTAATAAAAACGGTAGAACGCATCAATTTGTAGATTGAAATTAGATTGACGTATAAGATAAGAGAGAGCATAACAGTAAAGTTTATAAATCTAAACCGCGATGCGCAAACACATCGGAAAATTTTTACGACATTTATATCTGCGATATATGTTTAATACGTATATTTTTTATATTCTGCAAATTGTATACATATAACTGTAACAATTGTTAGAATATTATAGAAACAGTAGATCAGTGAACGATATTCCCAGACAGCACAGTAATGTTTAAAAAATGTATTTAAAACGTACATGTTGGACGTTTGGACATATTAAAAACATCCAGATTAGATCCATGGATATTTTAAAAACGTTTTAAAAATATCCAGTGTTACCATTTTGGACTTCTTAAAAACGTCCATTTTAGGATGCAATGGACTAAAACTGGACTAAATTAATATATTAAATAAATTTTTGACCACAATCCAGACAAATTTGCACACTGAAAGCAAAATGATTCCTAACTATTATGATTGCGAGCAGCAAGCTATTGTTGCTTGTCGCTTGTTGCATATCTGAATTAAGCTTTAATTTAATAATATTTCGCATTACCGGAGATATCAAAAGTAAAACTCCTCGTGCGATCATAAAAAAATTTTCACCTCGCAAGTCAACGAAAGCAATACGTCACAAGCAGACTTAGAAAATTTTTTGCATGAGATAAACATTTTTTAAATGTTCAAATGTAAACACTTTATACGTTGAATAACGTACGTTTTTAAAACATTCGTACTAAATCCATGGACGTATGGACCAGATTGAAACCAAGTCTGGATGTCCAATGGATGTTGTGTGCTGTCTGGGTTAAGGATGCAATTTTACTCTATCGTGACTAAGATAATTCTTATTATTCACGCCCATATGCATGATGCTGTATAGGTATGATAATAGTGGTTATACCATAAGGTAAATTACGGTTGTAAATTACATCATCGTTCATATAGTTTCTGAAAGTGAAGATTACGTCTGTCGCAATGAGTGGCAAACGGCTTTCTTCGAGGAATACTATTTTGGAAAAAAGAAAGGAGGCAAACCGCAAAATCAGTGCCGCCACTAAAAGCATACTTGTCCTTGGCACCGAGATCCGAATTGCCCGCGTTGCGTCAATGTACTGGATATTCTCATATAATGGTCTCCCTCTTTTTGTTTCATCAGCCGATATGATGATCGTGCGACATTCGCGTCGTTAAACGTCTCAAATGATATATTGTCTGTTGTGAAGCAATGTATTTAGCAATAAATCCGCGCGTTACAGCGGATAAATCATTGATTTTCAAATGCCGAGTGAAACGCGATGTTCTTTGTATCGGCTCGTTGATTTTTTCTAAAGAAACATATCGTCGTTCTCTCTTATTTCAAAAATGACACAAATAAAAAAATTTAATTCTTTAGTTTCTGAATTAGATAAAGAATACTCTGGCGATCATCGAAAGAAAATTAACTTTCGTCTGCCAAATAGCACTGGTGTAGTTTTTAACGAAATAATATATTATACTTTCTATAAAAGTGACACATTTTGAGTTATACTGATGTTTGATGAATTATCTTAGATTTGTTATAACTTTGTTGGATGTTAAAATTGTGTCACAACTCAACAACAAAAAGGATGATTTTTTAAGAATTGTGAAAATGACAAAAATAACATTTGATTATGTTTCTGAAAATACATACCTATATTCTTTTTTACTAATGTTATTTTCTTAGTCAATAATTTTTAGTTAAATTAAAAAATAGTTTTTCCCTTTTTCTGAGAAATTTAGTTTGTTTAATTATATCATCTTTGAAGTAAAAAAGCGATGTTGGAGAGAAAACTGGATAGCACAGATTGTATTGTAACATTGTGTACATTTTATCCAATTTTATACCTATATC